TTCAACATTTTTCAGAATTATGACTTTTTTTTAAATCAGAATTTGAAATTATTTCAGAATTTTCACTTTTTTCAAAACTTTCACTTTTCAAATTGTTTTCACTTTTCTCAGAATTTTCAAAGGTAAAACATTTTTATAAAAGTACTTCAGTGTTTCCATTTTATGCTATACGCTTTGTTTAGTAAAGGATCTGAATACTTCTTGCATCACTGGAGAAATGTGTGTTTCTGAGTCCTTTTGTACACTTCAGGTGATCAGGGTTAAAAATATAACTGACAGATATCACCTTGAAACTTCCCCACTTCATTACTGACATTACCACAATTATTATTGACATTACAAGTTTTCTGATATGTTATGTTTAAATATGCAAATGAGGCATTATGTAATGTTAACTAACCTACGGTGAATTTAGTAGAAATCTACAAACACAAACAGATAAAGATTGTAAAATAAACTCCTGGATATGGATTTTTTTTCCACTATTTGGAACGAAGACTTCTCTCGTAGTGGTTCTCCTTTAATTAAAGTACATTTTTCTGTAGGTTTACCTGTTTTTCTGTCCCTCAGCACGATGTTTTCAGGTGTGTTTGCTGCTGCGTCTCTTTGCAGGTTACATGATATTATATTGTGAGTAGAGTAGACGTGGTTGTTGCTCATTGTCTTCTGTCACATTCCCTGAAGGGATTACATTCAGGTTACCACACAACAACGACTCTCTGTGGGAAGTGCAATGACACCGCATGTTTACATCTCATTTCTTCCACTCATTTTATTTGTATTTTAAATCAGATAAATGCAAAAAATTACATATAAATTGGATAACCCAATATGTTCACAGCCATTCCAAGTTTCTGTTAAACAAGTTGTGAATGTCTGAGCTGGTTCATATTAAGATAAGATAAGATGGACCTTTATTAATCCCCGTGGGGAAATTCAGTAGTTTAAACAGCAACAGGTTAAGAATGAAAAACAGGACAGAACAGATTCACACAGATTAGAGATTAACAAGAAGAAAACACAACAATATTAAGATAAATAGAGAACAAGATAAAACATCAACAGTGATCCTAATAGCCGCTTTCACACCAAGTACTTTGCTGTACTTAGTGCCCCGGCACTTATTACCCCAGGGCACTAAGTACCAATCGCGTTCACACGTCGCGAGTACTTTTCCCTGAGGGAAGATTACGCAAATGAGCCGCTGACGTCACTTCGTCTTCTTCTGCTTTGGGTTTACTGGCAGGCCGCAAACCACTTAGCGGCGTATACTGCCACCCGGAGTCCCCGGCCGGAAGTCCCCGGAGTTGGGGAAGGCTTCAGTAGAAGCTGCTGGGACTCCCAGCAGCTTCTACTGAAGCCTTCCGAGTAAATCGCCAGAACGCCCACACCTCCTCATCTCCACAGCTCCCATGTTTTTTTTTGTGTTGCCATAAGTTAGTCTCTCTCCGTTGGTGTGCGGGGCGAATGCTAATGCTAATAATGCTAATGCCAGCAAATACAATGGCGGCTTCAAAAAGTTTGAAGCCGCCATAGAGTTTTACGGGGCGTGGTTTGCAATTCGCCCAGCCAATAGAAATTGGTACTTTTTTGGTACTTTTTTGGTACCACCTCTCTAGCAGGCACTGAAAATGGGGGTAAAAGTTCCCAGCACTAAGTACTCTTTTTGGTGTGAACGCAACATCAGGGGTACTAACGGAACTAAACGGGAAAAGTACGGGGTAAAAGTACTCCGGTGTGAACGCGCCTATTGACATTCCCTTGAAGTAAAGCCGACAAGACATTTAAGTAGGTTCAAATAAAACAATACGGATACAAGCGCCTGAGATGTGTTTTCTCCGCAGGGTGTCTGGCGTCTCCCTTAGGGATAAGGTGAGAAGTTCAGTCATCCGGGAGGGACTCGGAGTTGAACCGCTCCTCCTTCGCATCAAAAGGAGCCAGTTGAGGTGGTTCGGGCACCTAGTAAGGATGCCACCTGGGCGCCTCCCTAGGGAGGTGTTCCAGGCACGTCCAGCTGCGAGGAGACCGAGGGGTAGACCTAGGATCAGGTGGAGGGATTATATCTCTTCGCTGGCCTGGGAGCGCCTTGGGACCCCCCAGTCAGCAACCACCAGTGAAGGCTGGGTGGTTGTCGATGAGCCGGGGGATGGAGGGGGTTTGGTCGGAGGGCAAAGGGGAATGCAGGAAACTCTCTTGAGGAGGGACACATGAAAGGTTGGGTGCACCTTCAAGGCAAGAGGCAACTTGAGCCTAACCACACTAGGATTGATGACACGTTCAATTTCATAAGGTCCAATGTACCTGGGAGCAGAGTCCTGCACGGGTCTGATTTTCAAGACCCGCTCCCGCCCCGCACCCGTGACGTGCAATACCGAAACCGCCCCGCTACCCGCACATATTGCCAATTAGTTCCGCAACCCGACCCGTCGGCACAAGATCCGCAACCCGTGTGACGTATGGATTCTTGGACCCCAAAGCAGAGACAAACACAAGTAAAGCTCAAGGTGTTTAACAAATAATAGGCCAAGGCAGGTACTGAAGACAGGGAGCTGGCTGGCTGCAGAAAGGTCCAAAAACAAAGCAAAGGGAAAACGTCCCAGGCTAAACTCAAAAAGTTGCTCAAAAACTGCAAAGAGAACAAAACAAGACTCAAGGCTGCAGAAAGGCACTCTGGATCGTCAAACAGCATTTAATTCTCTGGCAGAGAAGTGAGGTGAGGGCCAGGCTCTTAAAGAGCAGGTGATTATGTGAGTGGGAACAGGTGTGCCTCATCTGCAGCCAGGAGAATACCAGCCACGCCCCCTGTCACACACCAGCCCTGCAGAGAAGGAGAGACAGAGTAGTGAGGGGTAAAAGGAGCAAACAACAGGAAATAACACAACAACAGCAAAACCCATGCATAAACATAACAACCCGACCCGAACCCGCATATATATGAGCAGTGAAAACGTGCAATTATTAACACACGCAGTTGCATATTTGTCTCAAAAAGCGTGGGATGTTGGTTATTTTCTCAATCTAGGATGACACCAAAAGCCTCCCAGACGATGGATATCGCTAGAGAGCTTCACCTCAGCTATTTCGAATGTGGCGCGCTCAGCAGCAGATTGATGCGCTGCAGAGGTTATGATTATGCGCAGTCTCGCGGGGGAGAGGTCTGAGGATTTAAACATTAAACTAAATTATTATTATTTTAATATATTTATTATGCAAGACCCGCGACCCGACCCGCATCTTCTTTGTTTTACCCAGAACCGAACCCGGAAAAAAGCGTTTGAAAAAAATACCACCTGCTGCTAAAATCCTCTGTTATTCCTCATTTTAAAGCCGATATCCCGTGGGGTCGGGAGCTCGGATCCTTGTCACCTTTTTCATACCTGATGAGTTTGCATCCCTGATAGTGTGAGTGCAGTCGGATTCTCAAAGCACCGCAGTCTCGTCTCCTAAGTCCTTTTGAATTCTCCTATCCACTATTCCTTAACCACGTGACGTTTCACACAGAGGTCAAGGGATAGACGATAGGAAAAGACGATAGGAGCTGATTTTTGGACAATTCCACTGCAGCCCTTGATTCACAGTGGCCTGCAGTTGTCTTTACGCACGCGCTGGCGAGGAGGCGGGGCTTATCTCCATGGAGATATTACTGACAGCTACAACAAAGTGAACATATTTAACCGGGATTTAATTATAATACACGTTTTAAAATGAGGCAGAAATAACAGAACTGTGATTTAAGGATACATTTTATTTCAAGATGGTTCATTTTGAGAGAAACAAATGCCTTATTTTATTTGTATTTTCTCTGATCTTAAAGAGAGAGAGAGAGAGAGAGGAGAGAGAGGAGAGAGAGAGGAGAGAGAGAGAGAGAGAGGAGAGAGAGAGAGAGAGAGAGAGAGAGAGAGAGAGAGAGAGAGAGAGAGAGAGAGAGACGGGAGCAGCAGCAGTATAACAAAGTCACAAATATAAACAACAGCCTCCTGTTTTTATATAACATTACAAGAGTGTTTCTTATTATTACATTACATGCTTATTGTGCTCATGAGATATTGCTATGACTATGGAATACATAGACACAATCACCAATCCCAGATTCTGATGGGTTGGATACGAAACAAAGGGAATAGTCATAGAAGAAAGTTTTAGCTTTCATAGAAATGTAGCAAAAGCCAGATGCAGACACTGTAGAAGCCAAAGAGTTATAGAGAACAGGAGATCGCTCTGGCCTTGAGGTGTGTGTGTGAGCTGCTCGCCTACGCATAACTGGGAACCAGTATAATGGAGGATTCCACAATCTATTGTAGAAACTTTAGCAAAACAAATTAGGATAGCACTAGAGTAGGGAGGGACCTTCACAGGCCGGCCGAATGCTGATTGGAGGTCGTGTTGCCAAGTTACTTTTGTCTAAGTCTGTGCACCAACCAGGGAAGCCAAAGTCTAAACCACGGTCCTCCCCATCTAGTCTCAACCAATCATAAGTGTACAGGCAGAGCCCTGAATAATAAAATTGTATGCACGCACGAGGTTCAATGCTTTTTTCCGGAAATAGAGTTACAGATTACAGCTCTGCTGCCTGTGATTTCTGTGACCGCACGGAGTCCTTGGCCAAGTGAAATATATCTTTTGCTCTCTTTTAATAAATAGTTAAACTTAGAAGTTGTTTGTCTTTCCTGGAATAAAAGAACACAATAGCCTCCCAAGAACATTGCATGTTGGATTTATATATATATTTAATTAAATGGATAAAATGGGGAACAAATCAATTCACAGTTAACGCTAGAGTACTTTAATGACATACACACTTTAACTTAGGTAGGGTTTTAAATGCAGGATGTTTACTGGGTTATTTTCCACCCTGTTGAATTATTATTTTTATTTCCACAACTTGTTGAGCTTGTTATTTTAACTGCATGTCTATTTATATCTTACTGAGAGTAATCCTAGTACATGTTCAGGCTAGTTATGAAACAAAGGAAGGAGCTGCAGACAGGTGAGGCATGTTAAAGTTAAAATATGAAGTCAGACTGCCAGATGCCATTTTACACTTTGACGGAGCAGGAGGAGGAGAACAACAGGGTGAGTGTTAACAGCAGGATTTGCTTTAAACACATTCATTGTTTACTCTGTTACACTGGATGTCAGAACATCAGCATCCTAGAGACCAATGAGACTTCTGCAAGTGTTGTAAACCTTTTTAATTTCCTGTTTTCTGATTCATCAAATCGACATAACATGTGACAGCCCGGCGCAGTCAAAATGGAGGGCGGCCTGTCTGAAGTCTGACTGATTTGATGTTCTTTAACCAAGTTTATTATTATGATGGCTTTGTGTGGTGTGTGTGTGTGTGTGTGTGTGTGTGTGTGTGTGTGTGTGGTGTGTGTGTGTGTGTGTGTGTGTGTGTGTGTGTGTGTGTGTGTGTGTGTGTGTGTGTGTGTCTCCAGTGTTAATAGTATCTCTCTCAGACCGGACAAGATGAGTGGTTTAAAAGATGAGGAAGAGGACGGGTTTCCAGTCTCCAGCTGTCTGTCTCCGAAGATTGACGGGTCTATTGGGGTACCTCTATACTTCAGTAATGAACCTGGACCCTCAGACACAGAGTAAGACTCTGTTTCTACTGTAAACTGACCTGATTTAGTTTGTATGTTATCTGATATATTAAACTCTTCTTTAATGATATCATGTGAGCAGTTTGTAAAGGAAAAACGCATTAGAGTACAGTAATCTAACATTATCTAATGATATCTCAATATACATTTATATTGTCATTGTATCCGTGGCATAAAATAGTTTTAAATAGCAGAAATGTTGATAAATACTGACTAAAAACGAAATATATCGTCCAAAACATATTTAACTACTTGGGCATGTCTATGATGTGTATTTTGAAGTTGTTTATTAATAATAGTGATAACCTGGTGAGCTGGTTGTGTTCAGCAGATATAACAGAGTGCATCACATGTAATCTAAATTGCAAAGACCCAGATCTGTGCCTGGCAACACGAAGGAAGTGAAGAAGTGAAATTCATGTCACCTGCGTATTCGTGCAGCGTGAAAAATGTCAACTTGAGTGTAAAGTTAGTGACTCTCTTTTACAAAAACCTGTCCATGTTGAGATTGTGCTCCTATGGTCTCTGACGGTCTGAGGGGAATCAGAAAGGAAAACAGAGCTCTACAGCACCTCATATTAAACTAGAGAATGCAATTCCTGAAGAAATTGCTAGTGGGAATGCTTTATGCTGAAAAGCTGATGCTAAACTGCTATGCTGAAATGTAATGTGTAAGAAGAAAGTGAAGAATTTAGATTGAAATGATACATGAACACTGGGGGCTTGAATGTGTGATGAGAGAAGAAAAGACAGTAAAAAGGCTTGGAAAAGCAGCAGAATATTTGAACTAACTTGATGGCAAATTATCTGTCGCCATGGCAATGGCATTTGATGACATCCCATAATACGCTTAGATGCGTTGATGGCTGCATCGTTACCAAACCTGTGAAGTTTTGGGCCGTTTGGAGCATTTTCACTGAAGTTATGAGAAAACCGTGTTTCATGGCGAGCATTGTGTTGCCAACGGCATTTGAAGAAATCTCAAAACTGTCCCTTAGATGTCTTCACGGCTGGACTGTTAGCACACATGTGAAGTTTGAGCACTTTTTGAACATTTTCATAGGAGTTATAGCGACATCGTCTTTTATGGCGAGGGATGCGTTTCCATGGAAACGGCACATGGTGAGATGTCAGATTTGACATAGAGCTGTTGAGGCATGGAGAGGTGATATACAGGTGAAGATTGTGGGACGACCGGACCGTGTCCATTGGAGTTACAGCGGCATCGTGTTTTATGGCGAGGGATGCGTTTCCATGGAAACGGCATATGATGACACCCCATAATTGACGTAGAGCTGTTGAGGGCAGGACCATTAACCATTATCTGAAGTCTGCTGCTCTGAGCATGTCAGTTGGAGTTATGACATCATCGTGTTCCATGACACAGGTGTTTATATTTGAGCTAACGACGTGTCCAGAGATCAAAGGTTTCCATGGTGATCAAATAAATGTGGCAAAGGCTCAAATTTGCTGAACAACACATTTGTAACAGGTTTGTTAATTGACCAAAAAATATGAACAGTTGGAAGATTGAAAATGGGATTATTATTAGGATTATTTGTAGGTCATTGAAAAGTAGAATCATTTAGAAAGATGTGAACATTGAAGTTTCTATTTTAGAAAAGCTGGTTTTAAAAGTGATTTATAAGAGTCATGTTTAAAGATGTGCAATACTTAAAATGTTTATAAAGATCCTCTGAGTGTGTGTCATTAGTTAGCTGATGTTAGGGATAAATACCTTGACATATTGACTAAGAGCTTGAATCAAACAAGCAACCTTGTATTTGAAAGATTAACTGACATAGCAACAGTCGCACGTGGTATATAAGTGGTGTGGAGTACTTTAAAGGGTTCATGAATAGAGGGGACTTGAATGTGAAATAAGAACAAGAAAATAAAAGTCTAAATGCATGAAAAAGCAGCAGAATATTTGAACTGAAAACTTTAGAACTAAAAGCATACGTCACCAATAATGTCTAAAATATGTGGAACATGTTGAAGTCAGTATGAAGTCTCCATCAGATGGAAAAGAATAGGCTGAGACAGTCTGTTAAACTCCAGTGACCACGCCATTAGTCTGCTGCTCTAATTACGTCAATTGGAGTTATGACATCATCGTGTTCCATGACACAGGTGTTTATATTTGAGCTAACGACGTGTCCAGAGATCAAAGGTTGCCATGGTGATCAGTGAGAGGAGAGCATTTTCATTGTTCTGAATGAGAGATAAACCTCTTACATGTGAACGTTTTGTTGAAAAAACGTAACAGATATCGGTGAAATTTCAAAGCGTAAAGCATGTCAAGGAACTTGAGTATCTGAAGTGTACTTTTTGTGTACTTTCGGGTTAATAATGTGGCCTTTTTGGCAGATTAACTAAAGGTGTGCGGCTGCTGTGGTGGGGAAAGGTGAGGCTGCACTTACAATGGGGTTTAATGGAGACTAGGGGTGTAACGGTTCACATAATTCACGGTTCGGTATGTACCTCGGTTTGGGGGTCACGGTTCGGTACGGGTTCGGTACAACAAGAAAAAGCTAAAAAAAAAAGTCCCAAATGCATAATTCCAGGTTTGTTGTTATTTATTTTTGAACAGTGATGCAAGTTTAGGTATAAAAATAAGGAACTCTAACATTTTGAATAATTAACTGTATTACACAGTTAAAAACAAACCACAAACAGTACCACACACACTCAGATGGCCATAGTATCTATAATGGCTGATCTCAAACAAAAAGGTTTCATCAAGCTGTAAAACGAAAAAGAATGTCTTGAAAATATTACAAAATAAATAATAAGAAAGTGTTTCAAAGGCGCATAGCCGTTGAAATATATATGCCAATAGCTTCCGTTATTTATTTTGGTCTCTCGGCTTGCATGTCTATTGGCTTCTTAAAAACAGCGGGGATAAGCTGTTGAACTGCTGTTGTCTTTCGCCGGGCTCCGGTGATTGGCAAATCTGGGTGATGCCTTCTGATATGATTTAGCATATTTGGCGTGTGTTACCCAGGTGTTATCATTAGCATACCGCACCGCTGTCGAACAACGCCGACACACCGTCCTCCCGATCCACCACTCGCACTCCATCGTTATTGTAGTCCACAGGGAACCCGAAATGTTCCCACACAGCTGATTTAAAAGAAGCAGGTGGTTCTTCTAGCTCCTGTGTGTTATCTGAAATCGCCATACTAACTTCTCTTCTTCTTGTATTTTGTTAGTTTTGTTGTGTTTTCTTCTTGTTCTTCATTTGTTGTTTAAGGGCGGCAGGCAAACTGCTTTTAGGCGCAATACCGCCCCCTGGATTATATATAGTGTAATGGATACTGCCCTGAGTGACAGACTTTTTTCCCTTCATAAAAAAAAGGCGTATTCGTCGTGTGACTGCATGTGCCGAACCGTGACGTCCGAACCGTGACGGTTTGGGACGAATACGGATACCGTTACACCCCTAATGGAGACATGTTGAAAGTTTTTGGCACTTCATGCCCTCAAGAGGCATTTTGTTTAATTATTTTGCTTAATTTTTTTTTATCTTTCAAGCTACGAGATGTTTTCCTACATTTGTCATGCAAAATTATGTCTCAGGAATGTAGGGTTTGGGAATTATGGCAGGTTTAAAAGAAAATATGTACTCCACTCTAGCTGTGACATCACGCACTCTAAAATCTGAAGAAGGCCTCTTTACCAAGGTCTGAACAATGTTTAATATCTCTAAAGGTACGAATCAGATTTAAAAGTTGTGTTACACGAATAATGTCAGAAAGATGTGTAACATTTTAAAGTTGGAATGAGGTTTCTGAGTGAAAGTATGAATGAACAGTTAGCAGTTGAAGTTGCATGAAGATTGTTGAAGTCTGAAGAGTTCTCCATTGACTTCCATGTTAAAAATGGGATGTATTATGGGATGTATCTCTGGAATTATGAAAGTTATGAATGATAAAAGTAATAGCCATCGATTCCCGACCGAGCTGAACGTTTTGATGTTTGAACGGAGTTTCTGCGATGTTGAATGTGGGAGAAGAAGCAGCGCAAAATAACCCGGCGGAATAATAAAGAATTTTGTGCTGTTTTAGTAGGAATGCTGTGTCAGCATTCCCACTAAATCAGGGTTATTAATCTTCCTGTCTAAACCAGAGACTGTCTGTGGTGCTAACAATATACTCACTGCTGTACTTATGACTTCATGAAGTCATTCTGAGTGTTGATGGAGCAGCTAATGTTAGCCTAGCTTTAATCAAACCGATCTCATTCACAAAACATTTTAAATGTTGATGCCTGTTGTGTTGGAGACAGACCTGACAAAGCATTAACTCGAGCTTTTTACAAATCAGTAGCTTTATGTTGTTATTGCTGCATCCTTTCCATATGTGTATTGCTATTAATTCATAGCAAATTCTATGTGAATTGTGTTTGTAATGCTGTACCAGGTTAATACAGCTGTGTGTGTCTTAGTAGAGACAGTGAACATGTGCTCCTCTGGGTGATGAATCCAGACAGGATGAGGTTTGCTTTTATAATAATGCGAGGTGTAAACTATCTACCTGATCACTAAGATATATTATATACAGATCAGTGACGTGCGGTGAGGTTCATGGCTGGTGAGGCACTGACTCACTGAGTCAGATTTACAAATATTATATTTTGACCTTAATCGAAATATTCGGTTATTTTCGAAAGCTTTTTTAGTCTGATGCTTCGATTCATTTTAAACAGACCGTTCAACAAAAGGATACCCAAAATCTAAATATTGGATTGTTCTTTCTTAGTAAGATCCCATTTTCATTACAAATGTGGTCTTACCTTGACTTGAAGATGAAGTCCATGCTATCCTTCTGGACAACAATCTCTATTACTTTTTTGTAAAAGTCCTCCTTATCTTCCTGTAGTTTCAAAAGTCTAGTTTATTGTTACGTCTACCGTCTCTGTGTAGAATAACAGTAGCAACAAGAACCTGTGGGCTCACGTGCGCCCCCTTCAGTGCGGCAGAGGTTATGGCTGCCTCCCCTGGTGCTTTTTTCATTGCCGTTGTACGATGAGACCAGCGAGCCTAAATATCATATATACGTGAAATAAGTTATTTAGAGACTATGGATGGCGAGGATAAATGTAATAAAGGGATCTACAAACATTACATTGGTGACCTACAGTGAGATGGTAACAGGCATGCGCTTAGGGCCCGCTTTCCAGCCAGTTTCTGTGGGGTGACGCATTCTGAGGTGAGGCAGAGCTCATCTGTGCCTCACCTCACCCCACAGTAAATGGCTTGAGCGCGCTCACAAAATAAGTGCCCGCGCTAAATTAGTGCCCGCGCTCCAGCAAGTTACTGTGGGCTTACGAGAGGCAGTGCTCGTCCCTCCCGTAGCGGAGCTCGGCAAATTTGCTGATTTTGACTATAAAAAGCGATTGGAATCATACATAAATCACATTTACAACACAGATCAGTGGAGACATTTTATTATTATTACTATTTAGTTTTTCTTTTGTTGTTTTTCTGTTACATTGGAGTATGACAGGTGAGGCTCTGCCTCCCCTGCCTCCCCTGACTGCACGTCGCTGATACAGATATAGACCTTTTACTAGAATTTGCCCCCTTGTTGTACCATTGGTGAGAATCAGCTCCTCTAAAGTAAAGTGCTGTAAAGGATGTGTTCATCTCCACAGAGGGAAGAGGAAGAGTGGTGTTCCTGTGGAGGAGCAGCTGTCCAGCTGTGCTCTGTGTCAGGACGTCCTGAAGGATCCAGTCTCTACCAGCTGTGGACACTGGTTTTGCAGACAGTGCATCGCCTCATACTGGGAGCAGCGCCCTCCATCAGGAGACCCCTCCTGTCCTCAGTGTGGAGAAAGATCCAGAACCAGAGCTGGCCTGCAGACAGCCAGTCAGACCAGCTCTGTACGAGGTAAGAGGCCGAACTCATGCAGCGTCTTTAGATCTGTCGGGGTGCTGGGTCTCTACTCTTGTATGAACTCTCATTGGCTCAGTGTGTCCTCTGGTCTTCTTCCAGGCATTGTTTTTGTTGTTTTTAAGTGTTTTAAAATAGAGAGCAGTGTTTTCCTTAGTAGAAACACTGGACATGTCACAAACGAGCTGAGAACCAAAATGCAACACACGGGAAACCAGGGATAGTCGGTAAACAGCTTTATTATAGGCAAAGGGCTGGACAAACCGGCAGATAGTAGGCAAAGGGCTGGTCGGGGACAGGCGAGGGTTCCAGGAGAAAGCAAGACGGGAGACGCAGGTACAGACCGGGTCAGGGAGCAGGCGAGGCAGAATAATCCAGGTACAGACCGGGTCAGGGACCAGGCGAGGCAGAATAATCCAGGGACAGGCAGGGTCAGGAAACAGGCGAGGCAGGCTGGTCAGGGGCAGACAAGGTCGAAACCAGGAGAGCAATCTGGAAGGTAATGCGGGAAAGACTGGCATGCTGCAAAGTACGATCTGGCACTGAGGTGAGAGTGAAGTGGGCCTATATACTAATGGAGTTTATGGGTGTAACAGAGTGAGAGAGAGAGACAGGGTGTGACTACCAGGTGACTAAGGAATGTTAATGCAGAAAATAGGTGAGTGAGGGAGCAGACTGTGACAGGGCAGATCTAAAGGGGAATGTTAGCCCTGCAAAGAACTTCTACAGAAGATAGTAAAGATATCTGATGGCTAGGATCCTTGTCTTCATATCCAGGATTCTTCCTGGTTTATTTGTTTTCGATTAGGTATACTGTTGTAGTGTAGTGTAGTACATTAACCTGTTACGCACCGCCCCCCGGTACCGGGCGGATAAACGCGTCATTTGCAGGAAACAACGTCTAAGGAATCTTAATATTTAATAAACTATGAATGTTTTATATCCATGTAACGGGAAGAAACTCAGCTAACTGATCTTTTAAAAAAAAAAATTAAAAAAAAAACCACAATGCTGCAGTTAATCCATAGGTTAATCCAATGTGTCTGTGTCCTCTTTGAAATGATTTCTGATAATCCATAAGCAATAAAACTGCTTTTTCGTTTCCAAATGTCAGAGCGAGAGATCGCTTCACTCTGGTGCAAACCTGCATGCGGGAAGCCCCCACCGTTTGTTTTCACAACGAGTGTGTGTGGGGGACCCCCCCTTCGATTCTATTGGCTCTAACGGTCAGAAAGAGGTGTCAACCATCAAAATCGACCAAGGGGGGCCAGAGATATGGAAAAAAAACATTTTCACCCAAATCACCTCAGAGGTGGAGTGGTTTTGGCTAAACCTCTCTAAAAAGGTCAAATGTCACTTGTTTTGCATCAATCTTGATACAGGGTACTTATTATATGTTGTACTTTGGATTCCTAAAGCTTTTAGTCTACTAACCCATCATCCAAGGGTAGTTTTCACTATCTGTAAAAAATTATCTTTGGACGGACACTATAATTTACAGTTTTTTACTATGTAAAATCTGAATTTTCTTTAAAATAAAAAACATCTATATTGATTCTGACACTTCTACATCCAACTCACAGATGTAACCTTGCTTTGATAAAATAAATTATTCATATAACCCTTTTAGAAGTTAAGTTGTCGTCATTTGTTTTGGGCATGTCATTTTCGAGCCTGAAACATGAAAAACAGGCTTGGTGCTTAACAGGTTAAGCTGTTTTATAAAAATCATAACCTTTTTAAACTCTATTTTGTTGTTATAATTAGATTCTCAAAATAATTTTCCTTATTCTCTCATGTGTCCTTCTCTTTCAGCAGATAGTGGTCTGCAGAAGGTTTTAGATGAACATAGGCTCAGTCTGAGGAGGAGATGTGAACGTGTGACTGAAGGAACTGATCAAAGTGAAACCCTCCTCAACAGCATCTTCACTGAGCTCTACATCACACAAGGACAGAGTGAAGAGGTTAATACCCAGCATGAGGTGAGGCAGCTGGAAACAGATTCCAAGAAGAAGCCCCTCCATGACACTCCAATCAAGTGCCAGGACATCTTTAAAGCCTTACCTGACCAGCAGACTCACATCAGAGCGGTCCTGACCAACGGAGTCGCTGGAGTTGGAAAAACCTTCTCAGTGCAGAAGTTCACTCTGGACTGGGCCGAGGGTTTGGAAAACCAAGATGTCAGTCTGGTGATCCTGCTCTCCTTCAGGGAGCTGAACCTGATCAAAGGTGAGCAGTACAGTCTTCTCAGGCTGCTCCATGTTTTCCATCCAACCTTACAGAAGGTCACAGCAGAGCAGCTGGCTGTCTGCAAAGTGCTGCTCATCTTTGACGGCCTGGATGAAAGCAGACTTTCTCTGGACTTCAGAAACAATGAGGTTGTGTCTGATGTCTCACAGAAGTCCTCAGTCAACGTGCTGCTGACAAACCTCATCAGGGGGAAGCTGCTTCCCTCGGCTCTCGTCTGGATAACTTCCAGACCTGCAGCGGCCAATCAGATCCCTTCTGAGTGTGTGGACAGGGTAACAGAAGTACGAGGCTTCACTGACGCCCAGAAGGAGGAGTACTTCAGGAGGAGATCGAGTGATGAAGACCTGTCCAGCAGAATCATCTCTCACATCAAGAGCTCCAGGAGCCTCCACATCATGTGTCTGATCCCAGTCTTCTGCTGGATCACTGCTGCAGTTCTGGACCACATGTTGACTACAGACGAGAGAGGAGAGCTGCCCAAGACCCTCACTGACATGTACTCACACTTCCTGCTGGTCCAGACCAAGAGGAAGAAGCAGGGACATGACACAAGTCCACAGCAGCTGACGGAGGCTGACAGGGAGCTTCTTCTGAAGCTGGGGAGGCTGGCGTTTGAACAGCTGGAGAAAGGAAACATCATGTTCTACCAAGAAGACCTGCAGCGCTGTGGTCTTGGTGTCACCGAGGTCTTGGTGCACTCAGGAGTTTGTACACAGATCTTCAAAAGAGAGAGAGTGATCTTCGCGAAAACAGTCTACTGCTTTGTTCATCTGAGCGTCCAGGAGTTTCTGGCTGCAGTCTACTTGTTCCACTGTTACACCAACAGGAACACAGAGGTACTGAAGCACTTCCTGAAGAGAGACTGGCCCTATGAGAACAGTAAAAACAGTGATCAGGATTACCCATCACTGGATGTCTTTCTTAAGGGAGCCATGGCGAAATCCCTCAGAAGTAGAAATGGCCACCTGGACCTGTTTGTCCGCTTTCTCCACGGCCTCTCTCTGGAGTCCAACCAGAGACTCTTAGGAGGCCTGCTGGGTCGCACAGACAACACTCCAGAAATCATCCAGAGAGCCATCAATAACCTGAAGGAGATGAGAAGTGATAAACACTCTCCTGAAAGGAGCATCAACATCTTCCACTGTCTGACAGAGATGAAGGACCACTCAGTACATCAGGGGATCACAGAGTTCCTGAAGTCAGAGAACAGATCAAAGAAGAAACTCTCTGTGATCCGCTGCTCAGCTCTGGCCGACATGCTGCAGATGTCAGAGGAGGTTCTGGATGAGTTTGACCTGAGGGAGTACAAAACATCAGCGGAGGGACGACGGAGACTGATTCCAGCTGTGAGGAACTGCAGGAAGGCTGTGTAAGTCCAGATGTGATTAACATTATAAACTAATGTGGATCAGAAGTTTTATTATTCAAATAAACACGATAAAATTTCTGCTGTTTTAAATACTGAGAGAGCAAAATAAAACCAACACCGTTCTTCTATTTATTTATAACAATAGTTAAATTGAACCGTGTCTCTCTTCATATTGAGTGATGGAGGCAACATGTCAAACACACGAAAGACATCAGAGGTGTCCCAGCATGTGATCACACCACACAGCAGGATTTACAGTTATCAGTTATATTACTTTCTAGTAGTTTCTTTATCATTAAACACACACACATTTGTATCACATTGTGTTAGAGTTTAAAATAAGATCTATATAATTGTCCACCAATAACAGAGTTATGTCTTAATGCTGATATACTGGGAACATCTGATGGTATTAAGCAGAGGTTGCGCTAGACTTTTTCGCTGCCCGTCATTTTGACAGGCAGGATCGTAACATTTCCGTCAAAATCCATTATTACCCGTCGGCCTGCACACAACTCTGCCGGGGGGGTTGGAGAGAGCACGCTCGTGAACTGTCAACGGGGGACTGTTAGCGCCGTGTTATGCATGCCCACTGCACCTCGCGGGAGCGCGCACCGCGTAAAGCAAATACGCACAGACATTTCAATGATCTGTTCGTCAAAGTTAGGTTTGGAAACTGTATGATTTCCTTTTGGGCGGGCATGCATAACACGGCATAACACCAGAGCCTCGCTGCGGGGAAACTGTGGAGCTGTTCTGAGTTTGTTCTAATCCGTCCAAATGACGGACGGCTTTCAGATTTTTCCGTCATTGTTAAAAAAAATCGGAAAATATTCGGTTAACACGACCTCTGGCATTAAGTTTAACATATTGAAACTTTATTGGTATGTTAATAGTGTTTGTGTGCACAATACATTTTCAGATGCTCAGAGACGCAATCTGGCAACAGTCTCTGACAGCAGAAGGTAGCCAACACAGTAGAGATGGGCGAGTCCTGATTCATCCGGATCATTAACCCGGATCCTAGAAATGAGCTGGTCGTGACGAGTCTCCCCTCTCCATTAACCCGAGTCCTTGAGTCCCACACTTGGTGTGACGTACAAATTAAAACTATAAATTGCGTCACTCGCTACTCTCTTTATAAGATGTAAAATCACATTACAACGTACCCCAGTCCATCTGCCTACCCTTTAGCAAGTATACAGGATAGCTGCCTGCCAGAAGTTATCGTTTGGCTCAGGGGAGGGGACACGGATCAGTGAAACTTCCTGCAGACTCGTGGGGACTCAGAGGAGCCGACGGCTCCTAACCGTAATAGCATAGCAGATCCAGAGATCGTCATGTGCACGAGCATAGCCCCTCCTCCAGCACCCGGCTCCCGCGCTATCAACAGCAGACTCGCAGACTCGCAGATTCGCAGATTCGCAAATCCTGACTCGCTGCAACACACAGCAGACTCGTGCGGACTCGGAGCCGTAACCATATAGCAGCAGATCCAGAGATCCAGCAGACTCGTCCTCATGCACGAGTCAACAGCAGACTCAGATTTGCCAAATCGCAAATAACCCTTTTTTTTGTGATCAACATTTTTTATTAAAGCAAAATACACTGTGTAGCGGAGGTTAATATAACGTCAGTTTAATAGATAGATAGATAGATAGTACTTTATTGATCCCAAATTGGGAAATTGTTGTTGTTACAGCAGCATAAGGCATTGTACAATAAAACAAAACTACAAAATATACAAGAATAGAAAGAAAAATAAAATAAAATATAAAATATAAAATACACATGTCGAAATAGAAAATATACATGCAGATATTACATATTACAATATATATATATTCAAAATATATGGAATAATAATATGCTTGTGAAATGCAACAACTTTTCGGTTTCACCGATAGGATTTCTACGGTCTTGGTGATGCTGACTCATATGACTCAAATGACTCGTATGATCCGGATCTCTTCAATGACTGACTCAGAAGACCCTGAGTCCGTAAAAGGATCCGGATTTGCCATCTCTACAACACAGACATGTGATCAGATCACACTGACAACGCACACATTGAACTCAATTATATATATATATATATATATATAATAATATTACATTATTATAAAATGGCATCAGCAAATGTCATTCAGAAAATACTGTATGTCAAATCTTTATTCATGAAATCCTTGAGGTTAATATAATGTTCCCTCTGTTTTAACACATGTTGAAATATATACGTTATTACAGACTTACTGACTGTGGACTCTCAGAGGCTCAATGTGAAGTCATGGCCTCAGCTCTGAAGTCTGACCCCTCCCATCTGAGAGATCTGGACTTGAGTTTCAACAAAGAGATGCAGGACTCAGGAGTGAAGCTGCTGAGTTCTGGACTAAAGAGTCCAAACTGCAGACTGGAGGCTCTCAGGTCAGTTCACTGAATGAACTTCATATCATTCTGTTTATGTTTATGATTTTCTTAATTTGAACAAATACATTTTAATTATTATTTCACATTTTTGCTAATGACTGATTATTCATCAGAGTAACGAAGAGAAGGTGAATGTGTGAGGGAGAGTGTTTGAGCTTCCACAGACTCCCTCTGTGCTCCATGAGTCAGTGGAGATGCTGTCAGTACTGATGAGCTGTGAGGAAGGAGTTGTTAAAGATCTGATCAAAGTTTGTTTGTAGCCTTTAAAACACGGCATAACACCGGAGTTAAAGTTCCAGATTATCAATGGATTGTTTCTACATCATCGCTGACATTAAAACCCTGTTTCACTCTGAACAGATTATTAAACCTGGAGTTATTTCAAATAGGAACATTCTTTTCTAAAGTTACATCATGTTTTCTTTATTCAGACTGGTTAGCTGCAGGTTGTCAGAGATCAGCTGTTCTGCTCTGATCTCAGCTCTGAAGTCCAACCCCTCCCATCTGAGAGTTCTGGACCTGGGTTTTAACAAGCTGCAGGATTCAGGAGTGGAGCTGCTGAGAGATCTTCTGGAGAGTCCAGACTGCAGACTGGAGACTCTCAGGTCAGTTCACAGACTCTCTGTTACTGCTGGAGATCTCATATGTTCAGTTTGTAATTTAACCTGATTTATGTACATTAATAACTTGCATCCATAAAGGGTCCAGGACCCCAAGTAAGCTCCTGATGTGCAGGGATTGTTAGGGAAGTAATTTTTCTTAATATTATTGTATTAATCCTTTAGCTGCTGAACTAGCATACATTGTCACTAACGAAGGTGTGGGGTTGGAACACCCTCGTAAACTATTAGTACTGGTGTTATTATGCCGTGTTATGCATGCACCTCGCGGGGGCGCACACAGTGTAAAGCAAAAACTCCCAGACATTTCAATGATTTGTATAGCAAAGTACGGTTTGGAAACAATATAATTTCCTTTTTGACAGGCATGCATAACACGGCATAACACCGGAGCCTCGCTGCGGGGAAACTTTGGCGCTGTTCTGAGTTTGTTGTAATCTGTCAAAAATGACTGTTTTAAGATTTTTCCGTCATCGACGGGAAATATTCGGTAAACGCGACTTCTGCTATAAACAGAGATAGGAATACTTCTAAGTAAAAGTAGAACGGCATTAAAAATGTTACTTGAGTAAAAGTAGAAGTAGACAGATCATGTACTCGAGTAAAAGTATAATTACTCAGATCTTGTACTTGAGTAAATGTACTCAGATTTTGTACTTGAGTAAAAGTAGAAGTACTCAGATCTTGTACTTGAGTTAAAGTAGAAGTACTCAGATCTTGTACTTTAGTAAAAGAAGTACTCAGATCTTGTACTTTAGTAAAAGTTGAAGTACCAGGGTGTAGGAATACTGTTACAGTAAAAGTCCTGCATTCAAAATGTTATATATTATTTTGTTGCAGCAGCAAGGTTTACAGGCATTAAAATATTTAAAGGTTGAAGAAAATATAAACATAATAAAATGAACTAAAATAACAATACAACTATCAATTCATTAAGATCCTTGTCATCTTTTTCCTATCTGATGAGTTTGAATCCCTGATAAAGGTCATCTGAAGTAATATTAGTTTAGCATGATAAAGTTTACTTTCTGAAGTAAACAGATTTTATTGTTCTCATTCATTTAAATGTTGAGTAACACGTCTGACGAGATAATAAATTGATTTTATAATTATGTTTTCTTTATTCAGACTGAGGCTCTGCAGTTTGTCAGAGATCAGCTGTTCTGCTCTGATCTCAGCTCTGAAGTCCAACCCCTCCCATCTGAGAGAGCTGGACCTGAGTAACAACGAGCTGCAGGATTCAGGAGTGGAGCTGCTGAGAGATTTTCTGGAGAGTCCAGACTGCAGACTGGAGACTCTCGGGTCAGTTCACTGACTCTCTGTTACTGCTGGAGATCTCAGATGTTCACTTTGTAGTTGAACCTGATTATTGTACATAAATACATTACAATTAAATGTTACATCCATTCATTTGTAAATGTTGTTTTGTTCATATGTTTATGTCTCTAAATGTAGTCTGCAGTCATAACAGTTGATTGTTTCCTAAAGAAACTATTATTCTTCCACTGTTAGTTGTTAAAGTAAATGTTTGTTTTATTTCGTAAATGATCTGAATAAAGAAGGTCCTCTGAACAAATATTAGTTTAACATAAAGTTTACTTTCTGACATAGAAATGTTAATGTTCCCATCATTTAGACGTGTTTTCACAGATAATAAACAGAAGGCTGATATAATGATGATCCACAATAACAGAATGACAGTCACTGTAATTCAGAGAAAAGCTCATTGATTAGGACGCAGTAATGATGAGCTACACATTTCAGACCTGAACATCTGACTGGATTATTAACTGATTTGTATCCTCATCATGTTTTCTTTATTCAGACTGTGGAACTGCAGTTTGTCAGAGATCAGCTGTTCTGCTCTGATCTCAGCTCTGAAGTCCAACCCCTCCCATCTGAGAGATCTGGGCCTGAGTAACAACGCTCTGCAGGATTCAGGAGTGGAGCTGCTGAGTGATCTTCTGGAGAGTCCAGACTGCAGACTGGAGACTCCTAGGTCAGTAACTCGTGCCTCTTTCCACCAAACCAGTTCCAGTTCTAGCTCCGTGCTACTCTGGTTCGGAACTGATTATTCTTTTTAGCCCCAGTTGTGTTTCAACCTCTGAGAGCCCAACTGGTGCTGCGTCATGACATCACCGTTTACGTCACTGATTTTCTCCCCAACGGCGCTCACAACAACAACAATGGGGCACAGCGTCGGGTCGATGATCGTGTTGCTTTTAACAATACGAAGCCAGATTAAATTAAAGAACTACTTCTCCAACCTTATACTTTTCTCCAGAGAGCTGTGGTTCATTGTTTATTAATGTGGTTAAGCGGCATTTACCGACCGTACCGAAAGTACAGGAATTGAAGTAAAGACAGGTTTTTTTGTCCGCAAACCATCCTTTCTTGAACTTTAATGCTATACAATTTGTATTTTTTTAACTATATTTAACCGGATGAAGGATTTTAGTCACTGTCATCTGGATCTTAAAGGGCCCATGTCATGGCCATTTCCACTGATCATAATTCCATTGTTGAGGTCTACTAAAATAGATTTATACTGTGCAATTTTCCAAACTCACATTGGTTTCTCATACAGCATCTCTGTATAGTATGTGTATTCACTCTCTGTCCTACACGGCTTGTTGGAGCTCCTGCCCCCCCTCCCTGTGAGCCCAGTGTGCTCCGATTGGTCAGCTCGGCCACTCTGTTCTGATTAGTCAACCACCAGAGAGGCTCCGCCCATGTCTAACACAGTGTTTTTTCGGCTCTGAGCGGAGCATCAGTTTTTGTATAAGCTAACCTACGTTTGCTAGTTGTTCAGTGTAATATGCCAACCTACTATGAACAAAAGCTAGTGGTTCATATTAGGCTAGCAATAACGTGTTTACAATTGCAATCTTATACGGTAGTCTGCTACGTGTCGGTCATTCTTTTTAGCTTGCATAAAAACAATGTTTTTCCTAGCATGTCTAGCTATAGGTAGCCTTGTTGTTTAGCTTTGTAGCATACATGCTAGGAAAGCCAACTATAATGTAATTAAGTTTCGCGACTGACCGTACGGTAAATCACCCGGAGTATACTGTATATGAGTATTTCGTGTGTGAATGCAGACATTCTCGTGCTATGAGAAACATGTAAGGCCATCTGCTGACATTGTAGTTCAGGGTTGCCAACTCTCACGCATCTGGCGTGTGATACACGCTTTCACTCTCAATCTCACGCACTCACGCTGCCCAAACTATTCTCACGCCAAAAAACAAGATGAACCGGCGATCGTTTTTGGCTGGTTATTTACAATGTTGAGTTGACAGCATTATTTGTAGTACTTCCATTTACTGACGATGGGGGCGCTGCATAACTACGTAGCCTCGATTAAAGCAAACAGAAGAAGACGACATGTATCAACAAACCACCGCAGCCCGGACTTGTATCGGAGCAGCGGAGGAGTGATGAGGTATCTAGAGATCTGAGTCCAGTGGGCTGCTTGTCTTTCTGTTCATCAGGACATCATATGACCAGCAGATCCTGTGTGAACGCTCTACGTTAGTCAGTGGACGTCCGACAACATGCACACTAACTTATATTGCAGCTATAGGCTATACTTTGGTTTAAATTGCGTGAATAAACTAGCTAGAGAGCTAAAGTTAATTACATTCATGCAATGTCAGAAGGATTACCTTTTAACAAACGTTGTAATGCTTTTCTTTCATTTCAATTTGAGTAAAACATTGAAGATATAACATTGTATTGTTTTCTTTTTACGCTGACTCAGATATAATGAACAGACTACGTCAGTCGAAGCTCAGCTTTGGTAAGGAAGAGACAGGACAGGCAGAGAGAAAGAGAGAGAGAGAAAGTGATATATATGATGGAAGTCAGGGAGGAACTGCAGGTACAGTCGCACAAAAAGAATGTAGGCTTAATAACCCCATCTATCTATCTATCTATCTATCTATCTATCTATCTATCTCTCTCTCTCTCTCTCTCTCTCTCTCTCTCTCTCTCTCTCTCTCTCTCCTTCTTCTCTCTCTCTCTCTCCTCTCTCGCTCCTCTCTCCTCTCATCATCTCTCTCATCTCTCCCATCTATCTATCTATCTATCTATCTATCTATCTATCTATCTATCTATCTATCTATCTATCTATCTATCTATCTATCCATCTATCTATCTATCTATCTATCCATCCATTTTGTGACCCCCCACAGGACTTAAAAAGCACCTAACGAGATCATGAAAATCCCAGAAATCTACTATACTCCCCCAAACCCCCCTAGCATGTTTGGACCTCGGTATTTAGGAAATCCTGGATACGGCCCTGGCTCTACTAGGCCAAAATAGAGTCAAAGAGTATATCAGAGTGAGAGTGTGTTAATTAATATATTTGGCAGTTTGGAGTAAGTCTGTAGATTTGTTTGTGTGTGTGTGTTTCATGTATAGGCCTCTCACGATAATTAATTTGGTTGGATACATTTTCCCGGAAATTATTGCGATAAACGATAATATTGTCGGCACCATTGTATGACCATTTTAGACCACCGACATAATGATAATATAACTATAACTGTTAGTCACATCCTCATGTAAATGGCAATTTATCGAGTTCATCTTTATTTATCGAACGATAAGTCAATTATTTGCTTATCGCGACAGGCACACAATAAAACAGTGGAAACAAACATGTGTTTGACTTTCATTAGTGAATGAAACTTTGTGCCCTTTATAGTCTGTGTCCATTATTGTGTATTTGTATATATTGTGTATATATCCTATATATATGCTAAGGTCCCGCTACTGACACGATAGCAGTCATTTAGTGCGCATATATGTAATTAAACCCATGATATCAAAATCTCACTCCAGCCAGGTACCCAAAGTTGGCAACCCTGTTGTAGTTGATATATGTAAACGCTAGCAACTTCGTTAGCCCAGTTAGCACTGTGTCAATGGCGTGTTCTGTGTAATAAAACCACTATGAACAACAGCTAGTGGTTCATATTAGGCTAGGAAGAACGTGTTTACAATTGCAATCTTATACGGGTAGTCTGCTACGTTCGGTCATTCATTGTAGCCTGCATGTAAACAATGTTTTCGCCTAGCATGTCTACCTCTCGGTAGCGTCGTTGTTTATCTCGGTAGCATACACGCTAAGAACGGTAGCTCGGTTAGGAACGCCAAATATAATGTACTGACCGTAGGGTAAATCACCCGGAGTATACTGTCTATGAGTATTTCGTGTGTGAATGCAGACATTCTCCTGCTATGAGAAACATGTAAGGCCATCTTCTGACATTGTAGTTGATATATCTGTAAACGCTAGCAACTTCGTTAGCCCAGTTAGCACTGTTTTTAACTGAACCTGAGATTCCAACAGTATATATGCTTGGCTGGCAGAGGGTGCGTCATAGCTCTGGGCGTGGCTACTGGGTATCCAGACGTCACGATGCCCAGGAAGAACATGAGAAATCTCCAACGAGGCGTTTTGGGGAGGTCCAAACACTCTGTGTTAGAGTTTTACTCCCTACAGGGTGTACCTTGAGGGTTTTTGACTCTGCAGACCGTTTACATGCATAAAAACCTTCATAACACACAAGGGGACGGGTAATAACCGGAAAAGCATGACATGGGCCCTTTAAGTTATCAGAGCAACAAGCTGAGCTAGCTCGGTTAGCAGCGCCGAACTGCCTTTGAGAAACACATGAAACTACTTTATTCAGTGTTTTTACCTTTAATCACCGGGTCTGTTTGCTTTGGAGATTTGATTGTGATTGGTGGTTTGCTGTGCATGCAGAAAACATACATTTACTGGAGTGGAAGAAAACAATCAACTGTTAGCGCGAGAGCCGCGCAAGTTTTCCTTTTGTAGCAAGCAGCAAAAGAATTGTAACATGATGTGTTTGTGTTAATTTGCCTACTTAATATCGCACGTCCTAAAAAATCGCATATCGCAATTATCGTCACGACACGATATATCGTGCAGCCCTAACTCACGGCAGAGTTTAGTCTCCCGTTAACTCACGGCAGAGTTTAGTCTCCCGTTAACTCACGGCAGAGTTTAGTGTCCCGTTAACTCACGGAGGAGTTTAGTTGTGATAGTCGGACATGACAACCTTTGCAGCCCATGTATTGATTCCATCCAATAGCTGCTATAATACAAAACAAAACGTCTGCCTGCTCTCCACAATGATCAATAACAGCGAACGGATTGGTCAAAGTAAGGTACAAATAAATAGAATCACACGAAGCCTGGTTAGTGTTGCCTGACTTTATAAAGTGTGTTTTTTGACAAGTGTGTGGTCACGTTCTAGTCACTTTGCTCAGCGCTACTGCTTGTCACAACTTGTATTTGCCGTACTCGCCATGAACTGTTATTGCTCAGGTTAATCTCCCCTCCGACGTAAGCGTGAAGTATTCTGTTCTGTTCTTGGTTCTTGCCGGACAGCGGAATGGGCTAAGAACTGGTTTCTGGTGCTTAGAGGCGGCTCCGCTGCGGTGGAAACAGGAAGAACCAGAGCTTAATCAGGCTCTAGCCCGGAACTGGCCCTGGAACCGGTTTGGTGGAAAAGGGGCATCCGTCTCTGTAAAGCTGGTTCAGCAGTATTGTATTAAAGGTCTCCTATTATACTCTTATTCATCAATATATTACAGGTCTCAGATATATACAGAACCTGTCTCTGATTGGCTGAAACCCCAAACAGATCATTGCAGCATTACCCATAATCCCCTCTGTTTCAGCCCTGTTTCCAAAGTGCTGATTCTCTGTCTGTTACTTTAGATGAAAATAAGGAGCCCCTCCCCACGCCCCTCTGAGAGAGATTTGGTTACAAAGAACTCAATGGTGCTCTAGGAGGAGATTCAGGTGATAAGGGGGGGGGGGGGGGTTACCTTGGTTGCTGATTGGCTAATGGTTACACAAGACAAAACATCGTTATGAAAAAGAGAGGGAATCTTTTTTCCTGAAACTTTTAGAATCTCTTTACACAGAGTGGATTTTGCATGACAGGTGACCTGTAAACACAGGGAGGTGTTTCTCTCACTGGGGAATCACAACAGATCAGTGATGTTACCCACTGACTAGGGCAATTAATCGTATTTGAATCGCAATTACGATTTTGGCCTGCCACAATTACGAAAACAACATAATCGGTTGTGACAGTGCACTGCAACATATTTGATCAAATGTATTTGTATTTATCATATTTATATATGTTTAGTAGCTTGTTGAAGTGCGCTCCAAAATATTTGTTGATCTTGTTTATTGGTATTTATTATTTTGATATTATTTATGTATCATTTATTTTTGTATTGGTTTTTCAGTTGAATTATACGTTCAGGGAAATCAACAGTTAAAGAGATGCTGTTCAAATTATTATTTGTATTTAAAAGTTCAATAAATGGATGTTTTCAAAGTCAATGAATAATCGTATTTAATAATCGTGATATCAATTATTGACCAAAATTGTGATTATGATTTTTGCCATAATCGCACAGCCCTACCACTGACTGCAGGTTCTTTCATTCTTCCATAAACTATAGAAGGCCTTTCTAGACTAATGACTGGTTACTTCCTGTAGTGCAGCTGAGAGCTGTGGCAGTCAGTCGTAGTGTTTGCAGAGAGGATATGATGGGATGTAAAGCATGAGATCAGGACTCTGAAGCTGACTCAAAGAACTAACACTTATTTTAAACTGGATCTAAAGCTGTTGGGTTGTGTTCATCCCTACAGGATCCCAGGAGAGACGATCATCAGCAAAGCACTTCCACACTTGGAAAGTACGACTCTGAGGACACCTCCACTCTGAGGACACCTCCACTCTGAGGACACCTCCACTCTGAGGACACCTCCACTCTGAGGACACCTCCACTCTGAGGACACTATGACTGAGGACACTGAGCCTCTTTACTTTTGTATTAATTAAAACCTCACTTTGTGGCTTCAGCTTTCAGTTTCCTCTCTTTTCTCTCTCTCTCTCTCCAGGTTATTTTATATTGTGTGACTTCCCTTTGTACCCCTGGTCTGCTGAGTCTGCCTGTGATGCAAGTGCGGTGGTAAGAGGTATTGAAATGGGTTTTGTGCCCGCACCTCTTCACAAAATCCAGGTCCAGTCCAAACTGGCTACTGGTTTCTTTCCAGGTGCTGTGCTCCCCAAGTTTCCTGTCGACAGTGTGGATGTCATAATGAATAATGATATAGTCCGAGATAAAGTGTATCCTCAGAGTAATTATCCTCATCGTGGAGCTTACTGTAGAGCTCGTAACAGGCGTGTCGCACGTGCTCATTCTGTTCCTCTCCCAGGTCCCAACAGGGACCCTGGTCATTTAGTGGCAGAGTGTGTGGCTTGGAAGCAGCAGGTGGCAGCTTCCAAGCAGTCAATAGTATGCTTGTGAACTGTATAATGTGTGTGTTTTGGTAACTGTGGCCAAACACTTGTTTGGTTTTATGGAGGGGGGTGTTACGTGCCGTAGTTGGTGCTGGTTTGTGTGTGTGTGTGTGTGTGTGTGTGTGTGTGTGTGTGTGTGTGTGTGTGTGTGTGTGTGTGTGTGTGTGTGTGTGTGGTGTGTGTGTGTGTGTGTGTGTGTGTATGTGTGTGTGTGTGTGTGTATGTGTATGTGTTGTGTGTGTGTGTGTGTGTGTGTGTGTGGTGTGTGTGTGTGTCTCTCCCTCTGATTGTCTCCCTCAGGTGCTCCCAATCCCCAATCAGGGCCTCCATAAAGGACCTGAGGAAGGCTGCAGTCGCTCTCTCCTTCTCCTTTGGCTGCATGGTGTCTGTGTGCTAGTAACCTGTGTTTTGGTGAATTGTTAGGAGATGTGCTCCAGTTTACCGTTGTGTGTGTTGTACTGTTTAGTTACTTTCTTTTGGAAGAAAGTTGTTCTCAGTTACTTAAGTTTGTTTTGCAATTTGGCTGGTGAGCCTCTTTACTTTTGTATTAATTAAAACCTCACCTTGTGGCTTCAGCTTTCAGTTTCCTCTCTTTTCTCTATCTCTCCCGGTTAGTTTATATGTTGTTACTTCCCTTTGTACCCCTAGTCCAGGAGGGAACGTAACACATGCCTACAACATATAATAATAATAATAATGCATTTTGTTTTTAGAGCGCTGTTCTTGAAACTCAAAGACACTTTACAGACTGAAAAAACCTTAAAAACAACACAATTAAAATATATAAACCACAAAGCAGTTCTGAAGAGGTGAGTTTTGATTTGTACATTATAAGTCTGATGATAATTACAAAAAGACCCAGAATGAGTCAAACCTGCAGATTAAATATTAAACATGAGTATTTTCTTTCTCCAAATTTATATTTTATTGATTTTTTCAACACAGGTACACAAAACAACAAACAATCAGATTATTAATTGTTAGAAAAATATCACTGGTCACCAGCTTGGCCTCAAAATCAGGATACAAGTCTTTATTATCCTCTCAAGAATGGAAGTAGTCATCACACACAGAGCTGCGTGGGACAAATAGTTCCCAGAGTAGAGTCCTTGATATGCTGATATACAAGAGAGGGTGTTACAGTCAACAAGATGGAGGAACACTGGTTCAAAGCAGTATTCTGACATTAGCTCAGATTAGCTAAGGCCTGCGTAAGCAATAAGCATGACAGTCATATGCCTATCTCTCTAGGGGCTGTGTCATCATGCCAATCTGAGGAACATAGCTATCATAACTTCAACACAGTATCTCATGATCAAAACCTTTATTCACTACTTATTACCAAAAATCGTAGTTCTATCTCCGGTAATCATGCATTCATATGTCCCGCCACAAACTTCCGGGGAACTATTGATTCTCCCTGAACCACGTGATGATCAAGCATTTTGGACTTCCGTTGTCATAACTCTCTCTCTATATGGCGCTGGCACGAGGGCGCTAACATCACTTCCGGACAAAATGACGGCCTCGCCCACTTTCAGGTGCATTAGAGAAAACAGAAAATAATAGTGTCTTCAACTCTTAAAGCTGCTGATTCGTATATTCAGGGATGCAAACTCATCAGGTATGAAAAAGGTGACAAGGATCCGAGCCCCCCGACCCCACGGAATATCGGCTTTAAAATGAGGAATAACAGGATGTTAGCAGTCAGAACAACTAAAGCAGTTAATAATAACAGAAACACCAAAGAGTCACATCTAATAGAAATGTATAAAAGCATTTATTTGAATTGTGTAGCAGTCAGTTTATAACTTTGGCAGGACTGGTGAGCATTTTGAAAATGTATTTTCATGCCTCTGTGCAAGACTTAGTCTTTCTATCTTTATAGCCAGTGGTGTAAAGTAACTAAGTTCATAAACTCAAATACTATACTTGGGTACAATTTTGAGATACTTGTACTTTATTTAAGTATTTCAATGTGTTGCTACTTTGTTCTTCTCCTCCACTACAGTTCAGAGGTACATGGTGTACTTCTACTCCACTACAGTTCAGAGGTACATGGTGTACTTTTCCTCCACTACATGTATTTAATACCTTTAGTTACTTCACAGATGTGGATGAATGTTGTGAAATATAATCAAGTGTTAAATCAGACTTTAGTTCCACCTGGAGTAAATCCACAAGCTACCCTGCAGTATACAAAGTCATTCAAACTAGCTGCACCTTTACCAGCTTTGAGAACACTTTCATGATCAATCATTATAAAACATATCATATATATTATTCTGAAATGGACCAATCTGCACAATGACTACTTTTACTGTCGCTACTTTAACTATATTTTGATGAGAATACTTTTCTACTTTTAATTGAGGAACATTTTGAATGCAGGACTTCTACTTCTACTTTTACTCTAGTACAAGATCTGAGTACTTCTACTTTTACTCAAGTACAAGATCTGAGTGCTTCTACTTTTACTCAAGTACAAGATCTGAGTGCTTCTACTTTTACTCAAGTACAAGATCTATACTAATACCACCTGTTTATAGCCTATGAAAAAAACTATTTGAAAACGAAGGCTAAAGCTAACGTTAGCAGATAGTGACAATGTATGCTAGTTAGCTAGCTCAACGATAATATTGCGACAGGAAAACTTTTCAGTGCACATCACGCTCTGCCGCTCCGACAGGGAGCTCTGCTCTGAACACCTGAACGGCCCGTTCTAACAGCTGTTCACCAGCGGTCCAGTCTGTGCCACAGTGACTCCGGACCGCACAGTTAATATTAACGAACGCACCGTAGGTAATGTAGCTGCTGAAGCTAGACCCTCATCCGGAGCAGCAGAGCCTTATTATACATCCATGAGCAGAGCCGACAGGCAGGAAGACTCGAGCACACAGCTCGCGCTTCATTATAATATATAAAAAAAGAACACCATGCGTGTCATGATGGCACATAATAGCTTGCGGCCGCAGATTACTCCGGGTCCCAAAAATATTTTTATTGCAGATCTACATGAATCACACAAACGACCTATTTTGGATTCAAAACGGCGAATTTCGCCAAAAGGTGACAAGTTTGCATCCCTGATTTTAAAATAGATTTAAATAAATAAAGATAAAAGACAATTAAAGAAAAAAGTGCTATCATCCCCCCCCACCCCCTCTGGGTCCCTTTTGAGTCTTTTCATCTCCTCCCGCCATTCCTCCACAGTTTTCCCACCGGCAGCCGCACAGTAAGACACACCTGCAATGCGAGTGTGGCCAGTGTCGATCCTCTTGGCCTGGCCACACTTGCTGCAGACTGACCTGTCTGCTCCCGTCCGTTTTAGCTGCTGTCGGCCTGGTTCTACTCTGGGACTCCTGCACAATATATACCGTCTGCTGCTGAAGAAGTGCCTGATCCTCAGACTTCACTAAAGGAAGTAAACCTGTGAATCTCCCTGGAGGCCTCGGAGCCGGTCGACACAGATTCCTCTTTGCGAACGGTTTCAGGACTCCACTGGGCTTGAATAGCTGCTGGAAGTCGGCCTGGTTGTAGGAGGTTTTGCCTGGTGTTAGGTCTTCCAGTGTGTCCGGGGAGAAACTGAGGCCAGTGGCAGCTTCAGTGATCAGTTTCTGGAAGAGACGCTGAGATCTCTTCAGCTGGATGGAGCCACGACAGGAATCCATTACTCCTGATCCAGATCCACAGAGACAGAATATGGTATGATCTTTAGATGATCACCATGTGCTGATTACTAGGGAAATAAGGATGTAATAATGATTGTTTCAGATCTTGTACTTGAGTAAAAGTAGAAGTACTCAGATCTTGTACTTGAGTAAAAGTAGAAGTACTCAGATCTAGTACTTGAGTAAAAGTAGAAGTACTCAGATCCTGTACTTGAGTAAGTAGAAGTACTCAGATCTTGTACTTGAGTAAAAGTAGAAGTACTCAGATCTAGTACTTGAGTAAAAGTAGAAGTACTCAGATCCTGTACTTGAGTAAGTAGAAGTACTCAGATCTTGTACTTGAGTAAAAGTAGAAGTACTCAGATCTTGTACTTGAGTAAAAGTAGAAGTACTCAGATCTAGTACTTGAGTAAAAGTAGAAGTACTCAGATCTTGTTCTTGAGTAAAAGTAGAAGCACCAGAGTGTAGGAATACTCTGTTACAGTAAAAGTCCTGCATTCAAAATGTTCCTCAATTAAAAGTAGAAAAGTATTCTCATCAAAATATAGTGAAAGTAGTGACAGTAAAAGTATACATTGTGCAGATTGGTCCATTTCAGAATAATATATATGATATGTTTTATAATGATTGATCATGAAAGTGTTCTCAAAGCTGGTAAAGGTGCAGCTAGTTTGAATGACTTTGTATACTGCAGGGTAGCTTGTGGATTTACTCCAGGTGGAACTAAAGTCTGATTTAACACTTGGTTATATTTCACATCATTCATCCACATCTGTGAAGTAACTAAAGGTATTAAATACATGCAGTGGAGTAAAAGTACACCATTAACCTCTGAATTGTAGTGGGGTAGAAGTAGAAAGTAGCGTACAATGGAAATACTCAAGTGAAGTTGTACCTCAAAATTGTACTTACTGTACTACTTCTCTACTCAGTATATCACTTAGATTTGGTCCACATTGACACATTACAATACTAAAAGCTATTCCACGTATAAAACAGGGGGAAATAATAACCATAATAATATAATATTGTGAAAAGAAAATTGCATAACGAGTACTTGTACATATTGTACATTTAGCTGATAATACTTCTGTAGTTTGTTATTCTGAAATGGGTCATATTGCAGAGTACTTTCTACATTATGTACTTTAATTTATCCTGATACTTTTTTACTTTTAGTCATATTTTTTAAATCAGGACTTAAATACTTTGTGGAGTATTTTAAGACCAAAGTATTTGTATTTATAATTAAGTAAAGAACACTGCTTCCCAGAGGATACATCTTCCGGCTTTAGTTAATCTGAGCAAAAACTGCAAACTAACTTCCGGAAAACTTAAATACACGTTTTCCTTGTTTTTGTTGAAGTCCTTACTTTTTAAACGAGTTCACCTGTCGCCATTTTGAAACGTCGGTTCGTCCTTATCTTCCCGGAAGAGAGTTTATTTGTGAAGATGTCAGTCTCTGTTCTGACTGACAGTGATGACTATGAGGGAAGAATATATCAGAAACACCTGAGGCCTTCAACTAGAACAAAACTATCCCAGGTAATCCCACGAAATATAAACCAAATGTACCTGGTTACTACGGGAAAGACCAAAGTCGTCATAGCAACAGCTGCTATGGCTGAGTAGAATACACAACAGTTACCATTAAAATATCAGATTGACAGTAAATATATATATAAATAAACATGTATATATAATACAATTATACACTATTGACTCTTATTTATCGGGCTGTGATTGGGGTGACTTTGCTTGAGTCCTCCAAGTGCTTACGGCTATATCACTACTAATAAAGAGACAATTTATCCCTGTATAATTAGAATTTATAATATGCGTTTTACACCATAGTATAGCCTATTATATAAATATACACACTGTTTTGCTCGCATTCGTGTCCTCCTTACGCTGTGTATTTTATATGATAGATATATACTTTATAGATAGATATATAGCCTACTTTACTAATCCCAAATTGGGAAATTCTAAATTTAGGATAACAGTAGTTAATGACATAAAGCTCATTGGTGTGTTTATCCTATGCCGAATTATGCAGTTTACACTCTGGATCAGTGTTGCCAACTCCATAGTAAGGAAAGTAGCTATTGGCTGTCCGAAAAGTCGCCAGAAGTCCCTAAATGACGTCATCGCCTAATTTGCATATCATCTAAGAGCGGTAAAAAAACGTTCCACCCCCTTCAAGGATCAAAACTTGAAACCACCAGAGTAAATCCAGACGACAGTAGATCAGAAATGTCTCTATTAGAAAAAGTAGAAAGTAGTTTTAGTAGTTTTTAGTAGAAATCTCCCTTACAATAAAGGCAGTATAGTATGCCCGTGTGTGTCATCTCCAATAAATGGCTTCAACCATCCTTTAAACTCAGGGTTTGATTCCCACTCCTTTCTGTACTTTTGTGAATACAGTTTAGACCAGGGGTCACCAACCTTTTTTAGGGTGAGGGCTACTTTAAAAAAAAAAAACAAGAAGTCGGGGGCTACTTTTACTTTTCTTTTCTTTTTTTGCGGTGTATATATTTAGCACATTTTAACATTATGATATGCTGACCTTTAACCTTTGTTTGCTGTTTGGGTCTGTGGGACCCGTTTGCAGTGTTTACTAAAAGAACATGTATGCAATCTAATTATTTTAACCTGCTTTATTTGGGGGTGGACGGGCCTCACCTCCTCCAGGGGGGTCCTCACCTCCTCTAGGGGGGTCGGGGGGCATGCACCCCCAGGAAGATTATTTTTTAATGTTGAAGTGAAATGCATCAATCTGGAGCACTTTGAGCACAACATGAATTGATGGATACAGCTCTCAACACTCAGATGAAAGAGAGCTGTATACTTTTCAATAATCCAAACATCTTTAGAATATGATCACAACCAATAACAAATCATTTAAACTGGTTTATTCTTATCTTATGTTACCTAGTTAGCATTTTTTCTTTTTATGTATGCTTATTTTACTAATCACTCTCCTTTTAAACTGTTTTTTGATTTTTTTTACTGTCCTATAGTACACATTGGAATGATTTCTTACTTTATCTATATTAAATAGATAAAGGTATGCTCTCCCTAGCTCTCTCTCTCTCCCTCCCTCCCTCCCCCCCAGCTCTCTCGCTCTCTCTCTCCCCCCTCTCTCTCCCCCTCTCCCTCCCTAGCTCTCTCGCTCGCTCTGTCTCGCTCGCTCACAGAGGCTGTGAGCTCCTCCGTGGCGATCGACGGCTTGCGTTAAAAAATAAAAATAAACATATTTTTAAAGTGGGGGGACACAAACGGGATTTCGAAAAGTGGGGGGGACATTTCCCCCTGTCCCAGGTGGAAATTACGCCATGCGTGTGTGTGCGTCAAGTGCAATAAAGATATGCAAGTTGCAACACACAGAGTAAAACTCTGCCCCCCATGTGTTGTATAGGCTGGCATGATAGGCTGTTTAATGGGGCTGATGTGTTGTGTAGATTCTGCCAGAAGGAAAATCAGCGGGGAGGTGCCACATTGCTTTTCTTCCAGACTGCAACGCTGGTCCCGCAAATCAAGCAAGAACGTGATTGGTAGATATTAATTTTGGGGGTCGGGGGAGGAGGGGTGTTAGATAGATATAGAGTTGTAGTAAGTAGATGGAGTTCGCTATGATTTAGGTTTCGTTTATGCATAGGGTAGATTCTTTTAATTACATTTCCTTTTTTGTTTTGTGTATTTTATACATTTTGGATTTGCTTGGCGAGCTATTTTTAGAACATGCCCCGCGGGCGACTCACGTTGCCTCTGCGGGCGACCAAGTGCCCGCGGGCACCGTGTTGGCTACCCCTGGTTTAGACTGTGACATGATGACCTATACGTGGATGTTTAGCTTGTCATAGAGGCACACACACAGTGGACGAGGTGATTAAGTGACTAAGGCTGTGTGAGTCAAAGCAAAGCAAAGGCAGTTTATTATAGTGTGACAGTGACAGTGAAGAAACATTTACATTTTACATTTAAATCCCGCTCATGAGCAATTCATTTGCAGTCTCGACGCGGGAGAGTGTGGCTGTCTCCTCTCTGCTCTGACTGCAGCTGAGCTGCTGCGGGAGGCAACTGTGAGTCTGAGCGCCTGTGAGTAGACTATGGGAGGGCAGAGGGGCTCACGGCAGCACCCGCGGCTCGTTAACTGCTGAACAATATGTGAGTCTCCAAACACCAGAAAAGTCCCTATTAACACCATTACAAGTCGTTAAATTAGTCGTTAGTCGCTTTTGACAAAGATAAGTAGCCGGAGGGTTTGGAAAGCCGCCGAATTCAACGAGAAAGTCGCCGAGTTGGCAACACTGCTCTGGATTAAGAAAGCACTGTTTTAATATTTGTGGCGGTGAGAACTTTTTATAAAAAAGAGAAACAAATGTAAAAAGTGAGATTTTATTAATGGACTTTGGTTTGGCGATTCCCGACCACACAGTATTACTGCATGTTTTGTGGATGTATTACTGTTGAAACAATGCATAATGCACATGAACTACATTTGAATATCATAGGTTGCTTCTTTTGTTTTATACAGTATTTTGTGTTTGTTCTTCAGAGACCAGCGACAGCAGCTCCTTTCTGCACACACTGGTCTCAGGCTGACACCTGGTGGTGAGTTTGTGAAACTGCACTAGCATTTTTTGAATGTAAACAGGAAGTAGCAAAAACTATAACATTTTAGAGTTTATTCACTTAAATAAAAGTCAGATCAGTTGTACAAACATGTTTTGGGAATGTTTTCAGGAACCTTGTTAGTTAAACTGTAAATGTGTACATATGTCCTGTCTGTATGTGTTTCAGTGTACTCCATTCAAGGCAGATGTTGTCATGCAGACCAAAGACCTCTTCCTATTCCCTTCTAAAGCCTCTAAAATAATGAAGCTGTGCTCCAACATGATCCAATACATGAAGCTTCAGCTGTATCCTCCACATTGTTCCTTCTTCTTCTTCTTCTTCTTCTTCTTCTTCTTCTTCTTCTTCTTCTTCTTCTTCTTCTTCTTCTTCTTCTCCTGCTTGATTTCTTTACACACAGCTTCTGTTTTCAGGCTTGTTTCTGGTTGTGAAATTCACCCAAACTGTGTCTCTCTTTCCGCTCAGGCTTGATCTAACAGCAGCTCAGCAGCTCCAGGAGTCCACTGCCTGACGCCTGGAGCTGAAATCCTCCGTCTGTGTGGATCAGAGGAGGTTGTTGCTGCCGTGAACGTCTGAGTGGAAGAGCAGAAGACATGTGGGTGTCCGTGTGCCTCCCCCACCCCCCGTGTGCCTCCCCCACCCCCGTCTGCCTCTGTGGAATGAATGGAGGAGGAGGAGGGGTGAGTAGATCTGGCTGTGTGACGTGAAAGTGCTCTGCATAAAGTTCCCATGAGCCCTAGCAGTTCCTCAACAGGTCAGACTGGACCTAACGTGGGTCAGAGCCGGTCCTGAGGAGTCTTTTAAGGTGCCAGACTCACAGCATTAGCTTTCAGACCTCCGCATGCTGTGTTTTATGCCCTTTTAAAGCCATTTAAAGCCAGTGTTTTGCTCCTTTTTAGCTGTATGTGTTCTGCTACCCCAAGACAAGGCTCTTCATGCTCAAAGACCTATATTAACCCCTCAGATACAGGTTGTTATTGTGTTACTACGGTAGCACATATACTAAAATTGGAACGATACAGAGAAGATTAGCATGGCCCCTGCGCAAGGATGACACGCAAATTCGTGAAGCGTTCTATATTGCCATATTTAATCATATTTTAATGATTTTATATGATTTTTCAAAGATTTGATTTAGGCGTCACAGCGCCGCCATGGCCGCTGGTGGTATTGCAGCTGCCGAGTGGAGCCTCTCACTGTGTTCAACGCTTTCCCTTCAATCTCTTTATCTCTTAAAAACTACAACAAGACAAGATCAAATATGGACTTTTATGACTTTATTGTCCTCGGGTGTGTAGATCTAAGTGTTTCCTTTAGACTCAAAGGTTGAGGTTCACGTTTCTGCTCGCAAACTTCACTTAATCTTGTTATTTCTTACATGTATTTATTTAAGTGTGTTGTTTAAAAAACATCGTGTACACATCTACTCGGAAAGGTAAAACTAGGACTCTGTTTTCACGGGAAACCATGAATTCGTTTCGCCTTCAAACTGATATTTTTAAATTGTGCGGTCAACACGAGTTTCCATATTTCCCACAGCATTGAACGCACCACCTGTCTGCAGTGTTACAGACAGACAGACATCACGACCACCTCTCAACGTGCAGCACTGGGAATCACCGGGTTCTTACATTAGATTAATTAACGGTAAATTAACGGACAGCCGCCGGTAAGACCACCGAGGAGACGAACGTGGATCTGAAGGAGGTGGATACTGCCCATTCTTCTCTGTGAAAGTAGGGGGGCAAGGAGAGGGAAGTGGGCCCCGCTCCTCACGGAACGTGGGGAGCGGAAGGTCCGCGGTTCGATCCCCAGCTGTGGCAGAGATGAGGAAGAGCTCCCCTCTCAGCCATGACAGCCAGCACTGACTGACACATAGTGACTCTGAAACAGGGGGTTTTGGTAAATGATGATGATTGTAATAAACTACAATGAGTACGGTATCTGTAAAGTGCTGTGAGATAACATCTGAATCAATAAAACTGATTTGATTAAAGAAAGGTTTGTACTACAGAGCTGTATTATGATGCATCATATATTATATCTATATATATATATGTGTGTGTGTATCATCTCATCATCTCTACTGTGCTTATTTATGCACCATGTTGTGTTTTATTGACCCGTGTGTCAGTGAAATATCAGACGTTGTGTAATGAATTCTAAATAAAGTTTCCACACAAAGTTCAGTTCAAAGTTTTATTTTAAAATAGATTCAAATATATACAGATAAAAGACAATTAAAGAAAAAAGTGCTATCATTCCCCCTCCCTCTGGGTCCCTTTTGAGTCTTTTCATCTCCCGCCAGTTTTCCCACCGGCAGCCGCACAGTAAGACACACCTGCAATGCGAGTGTGGCCAGTGTCGATCCTCTTGGCCTGGCCACACTTGCTGCAGGTGTACTGACCTGTCTGCTCCCGGGCGACGGCCCACCCCTTGCAGCATCAGCCTCCGCCGCCTTCCTCTTCCTGTAGGCTGTTGTCCTGGGCACACGAAGAGGAGGAGGCTGAGCAGCAGAGGCAGCCATGAGAGGGACAGCCGGGAGCAGTGTCTGAGGAGGAGGAGGGGGGATGTGGCCAGATGAGGCAGGCAGACCCACCCCTGAAGGTCCCGGCACCTCCGGGATGTTGTAATTGAAGGGCTGTCCTTGTCCCACCTGTACTGCCGAGAGAACCTGTAAGACAAACCCGAGAAGACAGCTGAGTCACGGAGAGGACAGTGAGGGTTAATACGCAGCCAATATTTAGTACAGGAAACAGGAATATTTGAAGCAAGTCTTACCGTTGGAGACTCTCCTTCCCAGGACAGGAGGTGTTCTTCCCCTTCGCTGTCTTGAACCGCCCCTTCGGCTGCCTCTCCCGGTGTCTGGGAGGGTAGACGACTCATCGCCTGTCCGGCTCGGGCAGGCGTTGCCAGAGGGCCATGAGTTCGTCCACCCTCTTGTCAGAAAGCCCCTGAAGGCTCCTGGCTTCCAGCAGGGCCTTGGCCAGCTTCAGGACATGCTGGTATCCTGGCTGGCCATCAGGACCCTGCATCTCCTCCTGAGGAGAAAAGGAAGGAGGGAGGAGGAGAGAAGTGCTGCTGTGAGCAAAGAGTCTTGAATACATATTATTATTATTATTATTATCACTATTATTATCACTATTGATGCCCTCTCTATTGAACACAGAATCTGTGTTCATCGGCACTCCAGGTACTGAGTGGCCATGAGTTATTTTACTGTGTACTTTTTCAGTTATTCTCTGTCAAACTCCTGTGGCAGAAAATCATTTTATCTCATCAAATATGGCAGAAAACATGCAGTTTGACAGAGGATTAAAACTGTAATCAGAGCCCTCTCATCTGAGCTCCGTTACACACACACAGGAGCAGGACATCCTCCTCAACCTGTCCGCCATAAATGCCTCAGAGGACGGATACCTGAACCGTAGCGTCCAGCTAGCTTAGCGATAAATACACACAGCGTTGTATTCTCCTCCCCCTGTCGGCCCTAAAAGCTTCAGAGGGCGGATAGCTGGGCTCCGTAGCGTCCCGCTAGCTAAAGGTAAACACACAGCAGTTCATCAGCGGTTCACAAAGTACCGCACAAACACCACGGTTAACTCAGTATGACTAATCTCGGACATAGAAGTGCGTTTGTAACAGTGTTTACACGCGTATTTGCTAATAATGAATGCACATTTTACTCACAGTGTCGCTTTGTTGAAGTCAGTCAGTGTGAAAAAACAATGGCGGACGGAGGAGAGATTGCTGAGAATTATGGAACAAATCCGCCTCACCGATTGGACGCCAAAAGCCCCAAAAGTTTGATTCTCTCTTATGGAACATATCCGGCCTCCCTATTGGGCGAAATATGGAACCAAGCCTGGACAGCCATTGGTCAGAAATTGGAACATTGGAACAGAGAAAAAATTCGTGAAGCGTTCTATATTGGCATATTTAATCATATTTAATCATATTTTAATGATTTTATATGATTTTTCAAAGATTTGATTTAGGCGACACAGCGCCGCCATGGCCGCTGGTGGTATTGCAGCTGCCGAGTGGAGCCTCTCACTGTGTTCAACGCTTTCCCTTCAATCTCTTTATCTCTTAAAAACTACAACAAGACAAGATCAAATATGGACTTTTATGACTTTATTGTCCTCGGGTGTGTAGATCTAAGTGTTTCCTTTAGACTCAAAGGTTGAGGTTCACGTTTCTGCTCGCAAACTTCACTTAATCTTGTTATTTCTTACATGTATTTATTTAAGTGTGTTGTTTAAAAAACATCGTGTACACATCTACTCGGAAAGGTAAAGCTAGGACTCTGTTTTCACGGGAAACCATGAATTCGATTCGCCTTCAAACTGATATTTTAAAATTGTGCGGTCAACATGAGTTTCCATATTTCCCACAGCTTTGAACGCACCACCTGTCTGCAGTGTTACAGACAGACAGACATCACGACCACCTCTCAACGTGCAGCACTGGGATTCACCGGGTTCTTACATTAGATTAATTAACGGTAAATTAACGGACAGTCGCCGGTATGACCACCGAGGAGACGAACGTGGATCTGAAGGAGGTGGATACTGCCCATTCTTCTCTGTGAAAGCAGGGGGGCAAGGAGAGGGAAGTGGGCCCGTGGGGAGCGGAAGGTCCGCGGTTCGATCCCCAGCTGTGGCAGAGATGAGGAAGAGCTCCCCTCTCAGCCATGACAGCCAGCACTGACTGACACATAGTGACTCTGAAACAGGGGGTTTTGGTAAATGATGATGATTGTAATAAACTACAATGAGTACGGTATCTGTAAAGTGCTGTGAGATAACATCTGAATCAATAAAACTGATTTGATTAAAGAAAGGTTTGTACTACAGAGCTGTATTATGATGCATCATATATTATATATATATATATATATATATATATATATATATATATATATATATATATGTGTGTGTGTATCATCTCATCATCTCTACTGTGCTTATTTATGCACCATGTTGTGTTTTATTGACCCGTGTTGCAGTCAAATATCAGAAGTTGCATAATGAATTCTAAATAAAGTTTCCACACAAAGTTCAGTTCAGAGTTTTATTTAAAAATATAAATTATAAATATATAAATGCATATTCTGTGAAAAAGCTTCCTCACAAACTGAGCAGCGAAAGGGTTTCTCTCCTGTGTGGATTCTCATGTGTGGATTTAGATCTCTTCTATGTCTAAAAGCTTTCTCACAGACTGAGCAGCTGAGTGGTTTCTTTTCAGCACTACGTCGTGGATCACTGACAGATTCTTGTCTATTTTTCAGTGACTTTGAGCCTGAGGCAGGTTCTCTGGTCTCCTTCCAATCAGCACTGTGTTCAGCGTCAGGTTCAGAAGAGTCTCCAGTGTCGTCCTCAGTCTTTGGTTGTAAACTGCTCTCTGGATCTGAGTTCGAGGAGGGACAGCCATGACAGCCAGCACTGACTGACACATAGTGACTCTGAAACAGGGGGTTTTGGTAAATGATGATGATTGTAATAAACTACAAAGAGTACGGTAGAGTATCTGTAAAGTGCTGCGAGATAACATCTGAATCAATAAAACTGATTTGATTAAAGAAAGGTTTGTACTACAGAGCTGTATTATGAT